TTGTTTTGGAGAACAGAAGTTTCGGGCTTCTTCGCGTTGCCCGCCCATCGGATGAGTGGGTAGCTGGGGCCATGATCCCTGTGGCTCACTGCAAAACCCTCTGCCTTTTCCTCCCCGGGTTCAAAGTGATTTTCCTCCCTGCGTCAGCCCCTGAAAGTAGCCCTGGGATTATACGGTCGCCGCCACCACGGCCCCAGCCTAATTTTTTTCGGTATTTTTAAGTTAGAGATGGAGTTTCACCATGTTGGTCAGGCCTGGGTCTTGAGAGTGGTCTTACTTTCAGGCACGTAGGCTCTTGTAGCTTGTATCAGCCTGTCATTGGGTACCCCAGGGGGACGGGGGGGTATAACCTCTCCAGGTGAGGAAAGGTGATGGTTTGGAGTAAGTTGCAGGTAACGGCTGTTTGCCACGGCCCTCACAGCCTCTGGAGAGCTGGACAGGGCCCCAGCAGCGCTGTGACAGGGCTGTTGGGAGGACTGACCACACCCTCCGAGTGGAGGACTCCAGGCGTGCCTGGCACCAGTGAGATACATCGCATGGAAAAGGTGGCTGGAGCAGCGACAGGGCCCGAATTCAGGCCCCTGCTAAGCTCCTATCTAACCCTGGTCCCAGGTGACCTCCTATGGAGGAGAGCTGCGCTTCACAGTGACCCAGCGTTCCCAGCCAGGTTCCACACCCCTGCACGGGCAGCCATTGGTGGTGCTGCAAGGTAACAACATCATCCTAGAGCACCACCCGGCCCAGGAGCCCAGCCCCGGCCAGCCCAGCACCTTCACTGTGCCCTTCCGGGAGGTGAGCAGTTCTGTCCCCCGGGGACAGGGGTGCGTGCAGGCCCTTGCTCCTGCCTCTCCAGCATCAATACTCCAGGACATCCGGGGCTGAGCACACATGTCCTTTCCTTGGCAGCAAGCATGGCAGCGGCCCGATGGGCAGCCAGCCACACGGGAGCACCTGCTGATGGCGCTGGCAGGCATCGACACCCTCCTGGTCCGAGCGTCCTACGCCCAGCAGCCCGCTGAGAGCAGGTGTCTGGAGCCGGGCGGGAGGACCAGCATGGGCTTGGGGAAGGGACTCTGTCTACGCGGTGCAGTGCGGCACAGCCACTTACAGACTGTGACCCTTTTGTGCCTCACTTTCCCTGTCTGTGAAATGGAGAGTCTAACAATGTCTCTGTTACAGGCTGGTCTGGGGCCAGGCTCCCTAGAAGGAAGCCTGAGATAGGGATTGGGGTGCACGTGGTTCACAAGGAGAGGGACGCAGGAGTGGGAGGGCCACGCAGGGATGTAGTCGCAGGTCAAGTCTAGCCCCAGCCTCAGCCCACGGGGAGCTCTGGAGAGTCACTTGCCAGAGAGTGGTCTTACTTTCAGGCACGTAGGCTCTTGTAGCTTGTATCAGCCTGTCATTGGGTACCCCAGGGGGACGGGGGGGTATAACCTCTCCAGGTGAGGAAAGGTGATGGTTTGGAGTAAGTTGCAGGTAACGGCTGTTTGCCACGGCCCTCACAGCCTCTGGAGAGCTGGACAGGGCCCCAGCAGCGCTGTGACAGGGCTGTTGGGAGGACTGACCACACCCTCCGAGTGGAGGACTCCAGGCGTGCCTGGCACAGAGCCAGCGGTCCTATTCATGTGGGGTCTTGTCACGCCAGGGTCTCTGGGATCAGCATGGACGTGGCTGTGCCTGAGGAAACTGGCCAGGACCCCGCGCTGGAAGTGGAGCAGTGCTCCTGCCCACCTGGGTACCGCGGCCCGTCCTGCCAGGTGAGTCCTGGGCCCCACGCCGGCCCAGCCAGCCCCCTCTATAGTGCTCCCCACCCCCTCTCCATGAGCCTTCCCCACTTCCCCAGCCCTGGCCATCCAGTGCCCCTACCCGAATGGGCCGTGTTCAGAAGGCCCTCCCACTGCCATCTTTCTGCCCCCAGGACTGTGACACAGGCTACACACGCACACCCAGTGGCCTCTACCTGGGTACCTGCGAACACTGCAGCTGCCATGGTCACTCAGAGGCCTGCGAGCCAGAAACAGGTGCCTGCCAGGTGAGTCCTGCCCTCCTTCCCCCCACCTCAGCGATCTGTGGCCTCTGGGTGCCCAGCCTCAACTCACATCCTGCTCCTCCAGGGCTGCCAGCATCACACAGAGGGCCCTCGGTGTGAGCAGTGCCAGCCAGGATACTACGGGGACGCCCAGCGGGGGACACCACAGGACTGCCAGCTGTGCCCCTGCTACGGAGACCCTGCTGCCGGCCAGTGCGTCCGGTCCCCGCCCGCACCTGCCCTGCCCTGAAATGTCTACCAGACCCTCCCACACACCCTTCCTCCAGGGCCCTTCTGAGAGGCAGTGGTTAAACCCTGGCCTTGCTGCCTCCTCAGTGTCACTTGGTGTGAAATACACTTCACTTTCAGGGCCTCAGCTGCCTCATCTGTGAAATGGGGTAGTCCACCCTCCTCAGCCCCTTGTGTGAGAGTTGAATGAGGCGACGCATGTGGAACTCTTAGCACAGTGCCAGGCATGCAGTGGCACTCAGGACACATGAGTTCACTTGCCTGTTCTTCCCCTCCCCTCTCCCCCGGGCCTGAAGGAGAATAAGGGGAGAGGTAGAAGCCACTGCGTTACTGACTAGAAATCTGCCCCCTCTACTCAGGGCTGCCCACACTTGTTTTCTGGACACAGACGGCCATCCCACCTGTGATGCGTGCTCCCCAGGCCACAGCGGGCGTCACTGCGAGAGGTGAGGCAGGGGGTGGAGAGGGTGGGGGAATGCACACGGGGGCACACAGCGGGTGTCCCTGGAGTCCTCGGGCAGGGCCCAGCCCTCCCAACCCAGAGGAATCAGGGATACCTCTCACTCTTAACCTTGCACAGGCCCCAGAAGACAGTCACCTCCCCTCCTCGGGAGCCCCAACCTCTAGCCCAGAATTCAAGACCCTCAGACATACATCCTAGCCTGCGGTTCACCTTCAGCCCCCTGGTCCCCTGCCCCAGCCAGGCCAGTCTTCCCACAAAACCCCTGCTTCTTCCTGAAGCTCCTGGGTTCCTGACTGCCCCGATTCACTGGCTGTGTGGTCCAGGGTGCATCCCTGCTCTTCTCTGCCCAGTTTCCCCGTAACATGGGCGAGTCAGGCTGTTGGTTTCTTGTAGTGCACGAGGCCATTGAATTCAGTATGAGATCCCCAGCCCAGCCCTGGGGTTCTGCTTGCGTTCATCCAAAATTCATCAGAGGCTTTCTCTCTCTGCAGGTGTGCCCCTGGCTACTATGGCAACCCCAGCCAGGGCCAGCCATGCCAGAGTGAGTAAGATTGGGGAGGTCGTTGGGGTCGGGTTACCCAGTGTCCCCAGGTGGAACTAGGACAGAAGCCTTTACTCCCTTTTGGCTTTGCCTGTCCAAGCCTCAGTTTCTTCATCTGTAAAATGGGGATAGGAGCAGGCCCCACCACTTCCAAGGGCTGTCGTGAGAGTGTTGAGTGCTCATGTCAGAAATCAGAGCTCCCTCTCGGTGAGCAGAGTGGAGGGAGAGGGGTCCTGGGTGGTGGGTTTGGGGCTTCAGCCATGGCTTTCTTCCACCTCAGGAGACGGCCAGGTGCCAGGGCCCATAGGCTGCAACTGTGACCCCCAAGGCAGCGTCAGCAGCCAGTGTGACACTGCTGGTCAGTGCCAGTGCAAGGTCAGTCCGAATCCCTGCCCCGAGGGACACGCTCTGCCCCACTGCCTGGAGCCTTCGGGGAAATCAGGCAGCATCTGGTGGAAGCCGAGACCTGGGCATGGGGGGCAGAGCATGGGGAATGGGGCAGGGGCTGCCCAGGGCTGCTGGAAGCGGCCGGGGAAGCTGGCCTCAGGCTGCTGGGGGTGCAGGAGACCCACTGAGTCCCCTGCCTGCCTCCTTCCATCCACCTACCCAGGCCCAGGTGGAAGGCCTCACCTGCAGCCACTGCCGGCCCCACCACTTCCACCTGAACGCCAGCAACCCCGAGGGCTGCCTGCCCTGCTTCTGTATGGGCATCACCCAGCAGTGCGCCAGCTCCGCCTACACGCGCCACCTGGTAAGAGCCTGTGCCGCCCAGCCCCAGGCGGGGTTGCCACCTGCTGCCTGGTATTGTCCATCTCAGCACTGAGCCCAGTGACCCTCATCCCTTCCTCAATACCGTCACATGCCCCCATTATTTCTCTCCCAGCCCTGATCTCAGCAGGACCCCATTCCCCGCCTTAACACCCTCCCGTGCCCAATCCCCCACCAAGGCACCCCATCCCCCACCAAGGCACCCCAGTGCCCAGGCTGACACCTCCTTCTTTTTCCCCTGCCAGATCTCCACCCACTTTGCCCCTGGGGACTTCCAAGGCTTTGCCCTAGTGAACCCACAGCGGAACAGCCGCCTGACTGGAGAATTCACTGTGGAACCCATACCCGAGGGTGCCCAGCTCTCTTTTGGCAACTTCGCCCACCTTGGCCACGAATCCTTCTACTGGCAGCTGCCGGAGACATACCAGGGAGACAAGGTGGGCCCCAGCCTGGCACCAGGGTCAGTGGTGACTCAGACATGAGTTCACCTCTGCGCTGTCTCTCAGCAGGCAGGCACCTGCCACCTGCATGGCCATATCGTGGTTAGGCACGTGGCTTTTGCGGTCCCATAGACATTGGTCTAAACCCCAGCTCTGCTGCTTGCCAGCCAGACACCATTTGATAAACCTCAACTTCATGGTGGCTGAGGGGATTGGAGATCACGCCTGGCACATAATAAGTGCTCAGCTGTTCATGACTTTTAGCTTTCATGCAGTTATTCAACAGACAGGTCCTAGGAGAGGCTGGGAAATGCAAAGACGAGTGAGACACAGTTTCAGCGTCATTCACATGCCCACTCCAACTTCACTCATCCGCACTGCTGGCTCTGTGCTTGTGTTGGACACAGTAATTCTCATCATAGGTCATGTGTGTTGAGCTCTCACTCTGTGCTAGGCAGCGTCCTTTACAAGTCACAAATCACAACTGTGTGAGCCAGGTCCTGCTACTGCCCCATTTCATAAATGAGGAAACTAAGGCAAGAGGGGCTCGGTACCTTACCCAAAGCCCCGCAGCTGGGAGGTGGGAATGCTGGAATCCAAACCGAGGTCAGAGGCTGCCCTTCAAATGCTCTGCTGAAGGCCAGAGCCCACGCCTGTAATCCCAGCACTTTGGAAGACAAGAGGCGGGAGGACCACTTGAGCTCAGGAGTTTGAGACCAGCCTGGGCAATGTGACGAAACCCCGTCTCTACAAAAAAATACAAAAAATTAGCTGGGTGTGTTGGTGCATGCCTGTAGTCCCAGCTAGTTAGGGAGGCTGAGGTGGGAGGATCACTGGTGCCCGGGAGGGGGAGGTTGCAGTGAGCCATAATTGCACCATTGTACTCCAGCCTGGGTGACAGAGTAAGACACTGTCTCAAAAAACAAACAAACAAATACTCTGCCAGTCAGAGGTGAACCTGTCTTTGCTACTCCAGAACAGGGTCTGGTGGGAAGGTGGTGATGGTGGTGGTGATGGTGTTGTAGGGGGCAGGGACTCAGAGCTGGGCTCTGGGACAGCCTGCCCAAATGTGTTCCTTGAGCAGCACAGGCATCTGGTCGCACCCAGGGCAAGTGGGTCTTGGCACAGGAGTCCACTGCTGGTCGAGGCCAGTGTTGCAGCAGATGTGCCCCCAGGCAAGGGGTGAGGGGGCCAGGGACACCTGGGAGGGGGCGCTCTGGGGTTGCCCCATCCCGGTTCCTTGGACAGAGCCAGGTACTCCGGGCTTCTCCCAGGGCTGGCTGCCTTCTGGTCCCTTCTCCCCTCTCCCTTCTGGGGTTCGCTATCTCTTGGCCTCTCTGCTGCTCTGTCCTGCAATTCTCAGACCTGTCTCTGTCTCCTGTCCTGGCATTTCCCTGCGCCCCATAGGGAGAGGCATACTTTGCGCGGATGCGCCGGGCTCACCAGGTAGGCCCAGGATGTGCGTGCTGTGAAGTTGGTGTGATGGGGTGTGGCACCTTCTTGGGTGCTCCCAGCCCTGTGTGGGGAGATGCACAGTGCCCAAGGCATTGGGGGTCTGCATGAACCCAGGCAGTGTCCCATGGCCCCAGGGTTGGAGTCAGGAGGGTGTGTGCCCCACCTTGCCTCACCTGCTGTGTTCTGGTCCTGGTGCCAACCGTCTGAAGTCAGAATGGCAACTGAGGTAGCAGGGAGACTAACCCGATGCTAATCCACGTGACTGTATCTAGCCCCCCAGGTTCTCCTGGCCCTGCCTGTCAAGCAACCACTGTTAACCCTCTGTGTGCACGTGGGCGACCTGGAGTTAACCCCGGGGTGCCAGCCTGGAGAGGGGGGGCATGCGTCTTTCTTCCTAATTAGTGTGGGCCTTTCTAACTACCACGCCCATGGGTAGAGGACCCTGCCCATGGCTCCAGCTCCGGGACCTTGGGAGGTCTTAGCTGGCCTGCTCCCTCCATTTCATCAGAACCGCACGTCCCTCTCAGAGGAGCAGTTGCGGGCAGCCATGACAGCTGGGAGGATCCCAGGGCCCCCAGAGGGCAGGGACCAGGCACAGCAGGCATCACAGGTAACTGAGGACCTGGCTAGGACAGGTTGTAGGAGACCAAAGAGCTGAGTCCAGGCAGGCACCTGAGCAAAGACCCCAGCCTTCCTGGGCCATTTCCCCTATGCCAGGCCAGAGCCCAGCCTGATGCCTGGTCTGCTCTGGTGTCACCCTTGGGAAACATTCCAGAACCATGAGTGGCTTGGGCGGGTGCCAGGGCACACACAGAGAGTCAGGCCGAGGAGCAACAACCCCCTCCAGATGCCCCTGGGGCTGCCTCCAGCACTTCTGCCCGTCCCTTGCTGGGCACCCTTTGTAGGGCTTCTCCCATCAGTCACGGCCCATAGGCAGCCAAGCCCATCCCAGGATATCCCTGCCTGGCTCAGGAGGAACAAGAGGGCAGTGGGTACAAGGGCCAGAGTGCCAAGTATCAGCACTTGTGAGCTAACAGTGCATAGCGGGTGGCTGGCTGGGCCCGCAGGGAGGTAAAAGGGCCTCCCGGATGTGCCTTTTCTGTACCCTCTGCTGCTCCCTATTCCCCGGCTCGTTCGGCCTCCCTGGTCCCCCAGGGTGGAGAGGCTCGAGACGGCGATGGATGCTGAGATTGGCAGGCTTCGTCCGCAGCTTTGCTGCCCACACCGACAATCCCCTCCCCAGGGCTCTCTCCTCCATCCCAGCCTGCAGCTGCCTGCGAGCTGGCACCCCTTCCTCCTCACTCCTCTCCTGTCTCCTCCTCCTCTATCTCCTCCTCCACCTCTTCCTCAGCCTCTCTGTCTTTCCCACCAGGCTCTCAGGTATGTGCCAAGGTGCCCATCAAGGGATCCCCACCCACCATGCTTTCTAGACTTCAGTCATTTCTGAACCAACTTCACCAATTTCTGTGAACTACTTGGACTATTACTTCTTTCAAATTTTCCTTTAACTCAATCATATACCAACTCAGTTAGGCTGATTACTTGCTTTCAAATACATATGAAAGGAGCCACCCCATTGGAATTGTTCACTGATGTGCTGTGTAAACGTTGGGGTCCACAAGAGACCCACCAGATGGGAGGAGAGGCAGACCCAGGCCATGCCCAGAGACATCAGCTAGGGACCTGGGCCGGGATTGGAAAGAAAATTGTCCAAAGACCAGGGCCAGGACCTGCACTGTCAGGTGGGGGTGGGGGGCTGGCTCTGTCTCTGCCCTGCCACTGGGCCTCTCTCCCATGACGGTCCACCCCTGCCGGGACCACCTCCGCCCTCCCACCCCCACCCCCGCTCCCCTCGGCTCTCACCACCTGCCCTTCCCTCCTAGTTCTCTCTCTCCTACGAAGGCTTCTCTCTGCTCCCTGGAAGCCTCTATTACTGGCAGCTGCCCCGGGCCTTCCTGGGGGACAAGGTAACAAGGATTTGGGGGGATTATAGGGGTGTCATGGAATCCTAAAATATCAGAGGGCCCTTTGTCAAGGCCCTTTATGACACAAAGAGGGAGACCGAGGCCCACAGTGGGTAGAGACTTGCCTGGGACGTTCAGGTCAAAGCACAGCTGAGACTGAAGTCAGCCTGCCCGTGTCCTTCAGCGGGCCCTGACCCCTGACCCCTGACCCCTGGCCCCTGACCCCTGTCAGAGGAGCTGTCTCGCCTGGGAGGGTTCCTCTAGTGCCTTTTCTCTGGGCTTTCTTGACCTTGTGTCGAGACACCTAGTTTTTGGTACTGCACTCAGTCATTCAAGAAGCATTAATTAAGTATTTACTGTGTGCTGCATCGTGTACAGGCAGAGCAGGCAGAGTGGGCCCTGCCCTCCCATAGTCCATCCGATTATCATTCCTGTCACCATTGGTATCATTATTATTATCATCATGAGTGCTGGCATTGGCCTTAGATGAGTATTAATATTGCCTCTATTTTGTTCCAACAATTTCAAGTACCTCTTAAGAATACACATAACAGGCTGGGCGTGGTGGCTCACACCTGTAATCGCAGCACTTTGGAAGGCCGAGTCGGGTGGATCACGTGAGGTCTGAGACCAGCCTGGCCAACGTGGTGAAACCCTGTCTCTACTGAAAAAACAACAATTAGCAGGGCATGGTGGCGGGCGCCTGTAATCTCAGCTACTTAGGGGGCTGAGGCTGTAGAATCGCTTGAACCTGGGAGGCGGAGGTTTCAGTGAGCCAAGATCGTGCCACTTCATTCCAGCCTGGGCAACAGAGCAAGACTCCATCTCAAAAAAAAAAAAAAAAAATTCAACTTCCTGGCTGGGCGCGGTGGCTCATGCCTATAATCGCAGCACTTTGGGAGACCGAGGCAGGTGGATCACCTGAGGTCAAGAGTTCGAGACCAGCCTGGCCAACATGGTGAAACCCTGTCTCTGCTAAAAATACAAAAACTAGCTGGGCGTGGTGGCGGGCGCCTGTAATCCCACTACTTGGGAGGCTGAAGTGGGAGAATTGCTTGAACCCGGGAGGTGGAGGTTACAGTGAGCTGAGATTGCGCCACTGTACTCCAGCCTGGGCAACAAGAGTGAAACTCCATCTTAACAAACAAACAAACAAAACAATAGGCATGACGTGTCACAAGGTACATTCAGAGAAGTGTGACAGGGAGGTTGAGGAGTGAGGATAAGAAGCGATCTGCCGGAGCTGAGGGTGGAGCTGGAGTACTGCAGGGTTATCAAGCGTGATGTGCGTTCTCAAGCTGTGCAGAGTGCATCACCGTTTGTGTCCTGTATTACTTAATCCTCATGATACCCTTCAAAGTCGGTATTACTTTTACTTCCGTTTCCATGTCAGGAAAGTAGGGCTCGGAGAGGTTAAGCGACTTGTCCAAGGCTGTATAGCCAGTAGAGCTAGAGTCTGAACCCAGGTCATTTAGACTATGGAGTCTGCCCTTTTAATCACTATGCTGGATCTGGGCACAATGGCTCACACCTGTAATCCCAGCACTTTGGAGACTGAGGCTGGAGGATCGCTTCAGGCCAGAAGTTGAGACCAGTTTAAGCAACATAACAAAATCCTGTCTCTAAAAAAATAAATAGGCCGGGCATGGTGGCTCATGCCTGTAATCCCAGCATTTTGGGAGGCTGAGGCAGGACAATCACTTGAGTCAGCAGTTTGAGACCAGCCTGAGCAACATAGGGCGATCCCATCTCTATTTAAAGAAAAAAAAAAATTGAAAAAATAAATAAATTCTTTTTAAAAAATCACTCTGCTATACACACCCGCAACTTGCTAGAAAGTCAGTCCCAGAAACGGCTGTGAACTTGCTGGCATTCAAAGCAAACAGGAAACCAGTGCTTTTATGGTTATTTGGTTACACTCTAAAATTCCTTACCACGCCTTGAGCTCATGGAGAACATCCCTGGGGCCCTTGTAGGCCGGGGCCAGTGTGTAGTCAGTAGGTGTTTGATGAATGCTGGTTAGCTGAGTGAACACACAAACGAACAAAGGGGTAGACTCGATGCAGTTTGGTATTGAGATGAATGTCTGCCCTGGTGGCAGAGGAGAGAAAGGAAAGTCCTGTGGGGCAGAGCTGGGGGGCCTCAGCTGTCCGTGTGAAGGTCCCCTGCAGCAAGAGTAAGGACTCTCTGGTCATGAGCAACACAGTACCTAAGTCCAGTGGGCTTGTCTGCGACAAAGAATCTATTGGTTCATGCAACTGCGGAGTCTAAGCATGTCTGGTATCAGGCATGGCCTTATCCAGGGGCTCATTAGGGCTTTATCTTGGTTCTCCAGCTTCTCATCTGACTGCGGAAGGGACTTTCTCTGGCCTGGTAGAAAGAGCAGAAGTACCCGGGTTACTTGTCTATTCCTGATGGGGTGGCGAAGGGCAGTGGTAGGTTATGCAGATTGACCAGGCCTGACTCATGTCTCCACTATAGAGGAGGAGGGGATCAGGGCCCTCAGACCACATGCTCTTCCTGTGCGGAGAGAGTTGTTCTTTATAGAAAACCAGGGTTTAGCTTCTAGAAGGGAGGAACTGGATTCTGGGCAAACAGAAACCACCTGCCTAGGAGGCAAGGTTTCCGAGGGGCTGCCCTCAGCCTCACCCCCATGGCTGAGAACTTTTGAAGCTTCCGCAGCCTCCCCTTGGTGGTCATTGTCATTACCCTTGTCTGCCTTATGGGAAATTACTGTCAATGAAAGCAGACCTGGAGTTTGTTCACTGGCACCGTCAGGCAATGGGGAATAGAGAACCTTGCAGAGCGAAGAGGCTGCTCAGCATCATCACCACCATGTCTGGGGCTGCAGAGGAACTGAGAAATGTCCTGTTTCCCAGGCAACCGTGGGCCATGCACCCTGACCTATTGGTTTGGGCAGGGAGGGAGTGAGGGAGTGTGGCACACTCACACCCCAAGGCCGCCAGATGCTCCATCCCTCACCTGTATGGTCCAACACTCACACCCCAAGGTCAGTCTGTGACCTCTGGACTTGCCTCTTTGCAGGTGGCGGCCTATGGTGGGAAGCTGCGATACACCCTTTCCTACACGGCAGGCCCACAGGGCAGCCCACTCTCTGACCCCGACGTGCAGATCACGGTGAGCATTTGGATGCCATGCTGGGTGGGCAGAAGGGCAGGATTGAAGCCCGGGGCACCCTCGGCATTTGTCCTTTGTCCTTTCCATCCAGCACTCAGTTTCCTGGCACAGGCTGGAAGAGTTAGGCCTGTGCCCCCACATCCCTGCCTGGTTGGACACGACCCAAGCAGAGGATCCTGCTGCTGGGAGAAGGGGGCAGTGGGCATGTGCCTGACTCCTTTGGGCACATGAGCTTGGGAGAGCAGAGAGGTGGGAGATTGGGGGTTACAGAGAATCTAGGACTGGTGGAGGACACCCTGGCACCCCAGGGACCCCTCGGCTCCCCTTCCAATCCTGCTGGTGTTCTTCCCAGGGCAACAACATCATGCTAGTGGCCTCCCAGCCAGCGCTCCAGGGCACCGAGAGGAGGAGCTACGAGATCGTGTTGCGAGAGGTAAGGGGCACCTAACCACGCTGTGTCTCACCCCACCCCACCCTCCACCCTGACTCAGAGCCTGGCTTTGATGCCCACCCTGCCTCTCGCTCCCCAACCTTCACCTCGCAGCCCTCAGTCAGTGCCTGCAAGGCAGGAGTTGGGGGGTGGTAACTGCAGGAGCAGCCCACAAAGCCCAGTGCCCCCGCCCACGTTGCCACCCCCCAACCCAGGAATTCTGGCGCCGTCCCGATGGGCAGCCAGCCACACGCGAGCACCTCCTGATGGCACTGGCTGACCTGGATGAGCTCCTGATCCGGGCCACATTCTCCTCTGTGCCGCTGGCAGCCAGCATCAGCGCAGTCAGCCTGGAGGTCGCCCAGCCCGGGCCCTCCAGCGGACCCCGGGCCCTCGAGGTGGAGGAGTGCCGCTGCCCCCCAGGCTACATCGGTCTGTCCTGCCAGGTAAGCGTGTGGCCGGCTCCACCACCTCTGCACAGGCACAGAGGCATCAGCAAGCAACTCAGCCAGCATCACCACAGCCTTGATTACCATCATAACTATAATGACCCCGGCATCTGGGCCCTGCATGTGTTCCTCCCGACAGCCCTGAGATACGTATCATTATCCCCTTTAATGGGTAAAAAAATAGAGGTGCTGAGGGGCGAGTGTGTCCCGAGGGCACATGGCTAATGTGTGGCAGAAACTAATTTGAACCTGGGTGTGATTGACTCCAAAGCCTAGCATGTCCTAACCGCTGGGCAGTGCAACCTCAAGCGTGGGCCACGTTCTCCGGAGGTTAAAACCCAGTTCATGCCCGTGAGGGGGCCCACCAGAGACAGGGAGCCAATTCAGAAACACAGATTACTCCAGCCCAAAGAACAGCACAGAGATGCCTCCAAGAGGTGAACAGTGTGGACTGGGAGAGGGCCATGGGCAGGAGGACACACTGAGCAGAAATGGGGAAGGAGGAGCGCCAGCCTGTGATGTACCAGCGTCACCCCTGGGAGGACGCTGGAGGGAGGGGTTCTGGGTCTGCTGGCTGTGGCTGGGGCGCATTGGAAACAGAGGCCGACCTTCCTCTCTGCCCCCAGGACTGCGCCGCCGGCTACACGCGCACCGGGAGTGGACTCTACCTCGGCCACTGCGAGCTGTGTGAATGCAATGGTCACTCAGACCTGTGCCACCCGGAGACCGGGGCCTGCTCGGTGAGCCGCAAGCGAGGCCAGGACAGGGGGTCAGCTCAGCTGGGCCTGGGTGGGGGACCAGGGCTGGACAAGGCAGGCATCAATCCCGGGGATCAGGGTCATGGGGCATGGCCTGTGGTTCGAAGCACCTGGGTCAGCAGACCAGGTCACTGGACATGGTGGGGTGGCCAGAGCTATGGAGTAACATCCTTCTGTGTAAAGAAAAAACTTTGGTTCCTTACTATTTTTCTCTTTTTCTTAAAAAAAAAAATAAATTATCTAATAGAGATGGGGTCTCCCTTTGTTGTTCAGAAGGTCTTGAACTGCTGAGCTCAAGCAATCCACCTGCCTTGGCCTTCCAAAGTGCCGGGATTACAGGCGTGAGCCACCACACCTCGCCTTTTTACTTTTTTTTGAGACAGGGTCTCAGTCTCGTTCTGTTGCCCAGGCTGGAGTGCAGTGGCCTAATATTGGCTCATTGCAACCTCTGCCTCCTGGGTTCAAGTGATTCTCATGCCTCAGCCTCCCGAGTAGCTGAGACTACAGACATGAGCCACTGCGCCTGGCCTCATTACATATATTTTTTTATACCTGGACTTTTCAGAGTAGTGTGTATATAGCCCCCCAGGGTACGCGGTGAAGGGGCAGCTGGTTGACAGCCATAAGCTAAACTTGGAGCAAGGAACACCTGATGTTGGTACAACAAACATGAATCTCTTCGGAGGAGAATCTGTAACCCACATGTTTTTATGAGGATGCACATATTTTCTTTTACTTTTTTTTTTTGAGATGGAGTCTCACTTTTGTCACCCAAGCTGGAGTGCAATGGCACAATCTCGGCTCACTGCAATCTCCGCCTCCCCGGTTCAAGCGATTCTCCTGCCTCAGCCTCCCAGGTAGCTGGGATTACAGGCACCTACAACCATGCCTGGCGAATTTTTGTATTTTTAGTAGAGACGGGGTTTCACCATGTTGGCAGGCTAGTCTTGAACTCCTGACCTCAGGTGATCCACCCACCTCGACCTCCCAAAGGGCTGGGATTACAGGCGTGAGCCACTGTGCCCAGCTGATAATGCACATATTGTTAATGCTCTGCACCCAAATACCTGAGTGTATACCTTTCCTTTGCTATCACAGGTACTTACGGAGAAAATAGAATCAGCATCACCCTTTTTGACAGCTATTTGAATGGATGTACTTTTTAATTTATCCAATTCCGTATTCGTGGATGTTTAGGTTTGTTTCCAGCTTTTTTTTTTTTTTTTTTCCTGAGATGGAGTCTTGCTCTGTTGCCCAGGCTGGAGTGCAGTGGCACAATCTTGGCTCACTTCGACCTCCACGTCCTGGGTTCAAGCAACTCTCCTGCCTCAGCCTCCCGAGTAACTAGGACTACAGATGCACACCACCCCACCCAGCTAATTTTTGTATTTGTTAGTAGAGATGGAGTTTCACCATATTGGCCAGTTGGCCTTGAACTCCTGACCTCAGGTGATCCACCCGCCTCGGCCTCCCAGAGTGCTGGGATTACAGGTGTGAGCCACTGCTCCCGACCCATTTTGCTTTTTATAAACACGACAGAAATGAGTGTCCTTGTAATGAAATCTTTGTGCCCTTCCATGATTCTTTCTTTATGATGAGTTCACAAACTTGGAATTTCTAGATCAAGGGATTACAACCCCGAAAGGTTTCTGGTAGATTTGGCCTAATGGCTGGTGCCTGCCCCCCTTGTGCCCTGCAGCAATGCCAGCACAATGCTGCAGGGGAGTTCTGCGAGCTGTGTGCCCCTGGCTACTACGGAGATGCCACAGCCGGGACGCCTGAGGACTGCCAGCCCTGTGCCTGCCCACTGACCAACCCAGAGAACATGTGAGTGCCCTAGCTCAAGGCCCAGGGACACACTTCCACTGGGGAGTGAATGGAAGGTGCTGCATTGTCTTTTGGGGCAGAAGTGAAGGGAGCAAGATGGAGAGTGGGCTTCTCATGACCTGACCTTTGCCTCCCCAATTCCAGGTTCTCCCGCACCTGTGAGAGCCTGGGAGCCGGTGGGTACCGCTGCACAGCCTGCGAACCCGGCTACACTGGCCAGTACTGTGAGCAGTAAGTTTGTAAACAGAAGTGGGGGAAGGATGGAGGACAAATGGTGGACTCCCAAGTGAGAGCCTTAAAGGGTGTTGCTCAGCAAAGTCTTTTCCAGGATTATGCTCCTTCCCTGCCCCAAACCCTTCTAAGTTGCCCCATTGCCCTTGGGACAAGCCCAACCTCCTTAGGCAGCTTTACTGTAGCAGCTTCATCCCACTTCTGACACCCAACTCTGTACTTTAGCTGGGCTTGACTTTTTAAATTATTTTTCTTTTTCTTTTTTTTAAACTGAGACAGGGTCTCACTGTGTTGCCTAGGCTGGTCTTCCTGGGCTCAAGCAGTCCTCCTACCTCAGCCTCTCAAAGTGCTAGGATTACAGGCGTAAGCCACTACGCCCAGCCACTTTTTGAATTCTTGATGTTCAGGCTTTGCATATGCTGTTCCCTCTGCAGGAACAGTCTTCACCCCTAAACCACCTCTTCCTGGCTAACTTCCACTTAGCCTTCAGACCCAGCTTCATTCAGTCATTCAGCAAATTTTTATCAAGCAGCTCCTGTGTACCATACTGTGTGCTGAGGTGTTGGAGATAATGGAGCGAACAGAACAGATTCCACCCCGGCCCTTACGGAGTCTGCCATCTCATAAGAGATCAGCCCTAATGGGAGATAAGACAGGAAAAAAGTAATTGTGCAAATGTATATTTACAAACCATAGGCTGGGTGCGGTGGCTCATGCCTGTAATCCCAGCACTTCGGGAGGCCGAGGCAGGTGGATCACAGGGTCAGGAGATCAAGACCATCCTGGCTAACACAGTGAAACCCCATCTCTACTAAAAACACAAAAAATTAGCCAGGCGTGGTGGTGGGCACCTGTAGTCCCAGCTACTCGGGAGGCTGAGGCAGGAGAATGGCGTGAACCCGGGAGGCGGAGCTTACAGTGAGCTGAGTTCACGCCACTGTACTCCAGCCTGGGTGACACAGCAAGACTCTGTCTCAAAAAAATAAATAAATAAATAAATAAAATTTTAAAAAACCATGATAAGTTATCTGAAAGAAGAGTACAGCCTGCTCTGAGGTAATACAAGAAGTCCGATCCTCTTGGAAGCCTCCCTGGCTCTCCAGGCTGGGCCAGTGCCCTCCTCTGCACCTGCACAGCCCTGATACGCTTCCTGCATTCTCATTTTCACATAGAATTTCCATGTTGGGTTCCCGGCTAGTAAGTTCCACAGACCAGGGACTTCATCATGTTCATTGTTATATTTCCAACAACACCTATAGCACATGCCTGGCATGCAGTCATTGCTTAATGGACGTTTGCTGGCCGGGCGCGGTGGCTCACGCCTATAATCCCAGCACTTTGGGAGGCCAAGACGGGCGGATCACGAGGCCAGGAGATCGAGACCATCCTGGCTAACATGGTGAAACCCCATCTCTACTAAAAATACAAAAAATTAGCTGGGCGTGGTGGCGGGCGCCTATAGTCCCAGCTAATCGGGAGGCTGAGGCAGGAGAATGGCATGAACCCGGGAGGCACAGCTTGCAGTGAGCCAAGGTCACGCCACTGCACTCAAGCCTGGACGACAGAGCGAGACTGCATCTCAGAAAAAAAAAAAATGGATGTTTTCTGAATGAATTTCTCTGGAGAATAAAGACCTTACCTCCCTCATCACCCAGCCTGCTAACACTCCCTTACACTCCCCTTTCTCAGTTCACCAGCGCCCTGTGTTGGGACCTGTCTGGTCCCCAAAGTGCTTCCAGAGCTCTGAGCCCCCTCACCTGACATTGGGCAGCCTGCTGAGCTTCTGGCTCCCCAAGTCCAGCATGAGGCACTGGGGCCCTTGAGGCCTGACATTGCCGGTCCTTGTTCCCCCTTACAGGTGTGCCCCAGGTTACGTGGGTAACCCCAGCGTGCAAGGGGGCCGGTGCCTGCCAGAGAGTAAGTGGGACCATGGCCCAGGATGGGGACGATGGGCAAGGCAGGGAGCCCTGGGAATTTGGGGGATACTGGATCTGGGGGACAGGGCTGAGGGTGGGGTACCCCAGCTTTTGGGAGAGCACAAGTATCGAAGGCAATGTTGAAAGGCTCCTCCTGTCCCGGCCCCTACCCCCAGCAAACCAAGCCCCACTGGTGGTCGAGGTCCATCCTGCTCGAAGCGTAGTGCCCCAAGGTGGCTCCCACTCCCTGCGGTGCCAGGTCAGTGGGAGCCCACCCCACTACTTCTATTGGTCCCGTGAGGATGGGCGGCCTGTGCCCAGCAGCACCCAGCAGCGACATCAAGGTACCCATGGCCCTAGGCTCCTCAGCCCCAAGAGCCATCCCAGTGGGAGGGGAGGCAGGGGCCTGTCCCTGCCCTAGTGGGGTCCTGTCCTTGCGCATGGGGCTGGATGTGAGGAAGAGTGTATCTGCACCAACAAACTCCTTTTTCCTCCCCACCAGGCTCTGAGCTCCACTTCCCCAGCGTCCAGCCCTCGGACGCCGGGGTCTACATTTGCACCTGCCGTAATCTCCACCATGCCAATACCAGCCGGGCAGAGCTGCTGGTCACTGGTGAGTCCCTGCGCCCCATGTAACCAAGACCGCCTGTCCTGGGCTGGGCTGCAGGCGGCAGATTCAGCAGATGGTACATTCACCTGCTGGGAGGGGGCAGTGGTGGCCTGGACAAGGTCAGCGGCCATGGAGATGAGGAGAGATGGCAGATTCAAGACTCATTTTAGAGGTAGGATCGGCAGGACTTGATTGGTCAGTGAAGCCAAAAGAAAAGGGTGGGCCGGGCACAGTAGCTCACGCCTGTAATCCCAGCACTTTGGGAGGCCAAGATGGGCAGATCATGAGGTCAGGAGTTTGAAACCAGCCTGGCCAACATGGTAAAACCCCATCTCTAGTACAAATGAAAAAATTAACTGGTCATGGTGGTACACACGTATAATCCCAGCTACTTGGGAGCGCTGAGGCAGGAGAATTATTGCTTCAACCCAGGAGGTGGAGGTTGCAGTGAGCCGAGATTGCGCCCCTGTACTCCAGCCTGGGCAACAGAGCAAGACTCTATCTTAAAATAATAATAATAATAATAATGATGATGATGCATCTCGGAGTCACCCTGCCCTGGCGTCCAGGGAGCTGCAGTATGTCTAGGCCAGCTCCTGTCAGTCACTGACTGAGATCTATTCTGGGAGCATCAAGTCCCCTGCATGTCTGTCCCACCCATAGGTGTGCACTGTGGGCTCCAGTGGCCTAAGAAAGCCCTCAATGCAAAGTGCAGTGGTTGGCGAAGTCAGGCAGGTGGGCACGGGGTGGGGCATGGCTAGGCCACCAGCAGCACAGGCTACAAACAGGTCAGAGAGAATCACGAGCTTGCTTTGGACGTGTTAGAGTCTGAGATGTTTGGGAAGACATCTCATTGAGTCCACCAGGCAGGCATTTGGGTATGTGAGTCTGAACTCCGGTAAGAGGCCCCAGCCAGAGAAATGAGTCTGGTTGCTGTTGGCACAGGGATGGTGTTCAAAGCTATGCGTCGGGATGAAGTCACCTAGGGAGAATGTGGCCCGAGGACAGGGCCCAAGCCCAGAGTCCCAAGGAGCTCCAGCATGAACATGTCAAATGGAAGAGGAAGGGCAGGAAGAGCCTGAGAGAGTGCGGCCATGAGGCAGGAGGAGGTGGGGGGCATCATGGGAATCAGAGGGAAAAGGGCTTCCAGGGCAGCCTGTCCACTGGGAAGTCAGATAAGGGCAGAGAAATAGCCCTTGGAGGTCGCGCTTTGACAAGAGCGGTTTTCAGTGGAGAGAAGGGATAGAAGCCAGATTGGAAGGAGGCGACGCATGGGTGGGAAGGTGGCGAGTGTGGACAACTCCTGCAAGAGTCTTGGCTCTGAAGAGAGGCCAGGAAATGGGTCATTGACCACGAGAGCATGAGGTCAAGGGGGAGTTTTCAGAAATGGGAAATCCTAGAATGCACTCTGGACTGAAGTGATCTCATGAGAAGAAGGAGACGCTGATGTCGCGAGAGCGAAGGAAGTGCTGGGGAGGGGTGGCACTCAGGCGCAGCGGTGGGACAGGGTGGGGGCAGGAGAAGGGGCCTGTCCTTCAGGGACCAGTACCTAGAGAGCCGGTGGGTTTGGGAGGCTGGGAAAAGTCCTGACTAGCCATTTCTATTTTCCCAACAAGTGTGTGTCAGTACCACTAGCTAAGAAAGTGCAAGGGTGGTTGGAGAGGCTGGAGGAGATGGGAGGAGGTGTGAAATAGTTGTTTTTGGGGGATAGAAACTCAAACCAGATGGAGAAACCCAGTTGGAGTGAAGTGTGATGTGTCAGGAGCTTATTGTGGTCTGTGATCAGAAACTGGAGCCAAGTGGACTCATGGCGTGGTGTTCCCTAACCACATCCGTGGCCGCTCTGTGTGGGCAAGGGAGGGCGGGCATGGTGGGGTTCAGCCGGAATGGGGGAGGGAGGCGCCAGGGAGTGGAATGAGAGTTAGGCTGGACCAGGAAGGAAGTGATGCCTAGAGGAGGTTATGGAGAAAGACACAGTGGCCACAGGACCAGGGCCTAGCCAGCACCGGCACACGGGGGGCTTCCCGTCCCTGCAGAGGCTCCAAGCAAGCCCATCACAGTGACAGTGGAGGAGCAGCGGAGCCAGAGCGTGCGCCCCGGAACCGATGTCACCTTCATCTGCACAGCCAAAAGCAAGGTGTGCAGGGCAGGGAGTGGGGATGAGGGAAGTCTATCTTCTGGGGCCTCTGAGCCCCACCCATGACCCCCTTTCGCCTTGCCCTGCTAGTCCCCAGCCTATACCCTGGTGTGGACCCGCCTGCACAACGGGAAGCTGCCCACCCGAGCCATGGATTTCAACGGCATCCTGACCATACGCAATGTCCAGCTGAGCGATGCGGGCACCTATGTGTGCACCGGCTCCAACATGTTTGCCATGGACCAGGGCACAGCCACTCTACATGTGCAGGGTACACCTCCCATCTATACCTGATTCTCCCACCCCAGCTCTCCCTGCATGCCCACCGAGATTAGCATAGCATTTCTTCATTCAGCTGATATTTCTGAGCACTGCTGCACGCCTGGTCCTGGTCTAGGCTCTGCAGAAGCAGGGGAGAGAAGCATGTACAGTATCTCGGCCCTCCTGAAGTACAGGTTCTAGGCAGGGAGACCATAAGCATGGGAATAAATGAACAAGCAGATAACTACACATGGTGATGAGTGCCAGGCTAGGAATAACAGAGTGACGAGAAAGCAAGAAACGAGGTGGGAGAAGGCCAGGCGTGGTGGCTCACACCTGTAAGCCCAGCACTTTGGGAAGCTGAGGCAGGTGGATCACTGGAGGTCAGGAGTTCCAGACCAACCTGGCCAACATGGTGAAACCCTGTCTCTACTAAAAATATAAAAACTAGTTGGTCATGGTGGCAGGTGCCTTTAATCCCAGCTACTCAGGAGGCTGAGGCAGGAGAATCACTTGAACCGGGGAGGCAGAGGTTGCAGTGAGCCGAGATTACACCACTGCACTCCAGCCTGGGCAACAGAGCGAGAATCTGTCTCAGAAAAATAAAATGAAACAAGATGGGAGAGGCAGGTGCTACTCTAGACAGGGCAGTCAGGGAGGGCCTCTCTGAGGAGGTGACACCTAAGCTGAGACCTGAAGGAAAGGTAGGCATTGAGCGAGTTGGAGAGTTGGCAGAGTGTGCTTGGCAGAAGGAGCAGTACATGGCAAGGCCCTGAGGCAGGAGCGCATTGCTGAGTTTGAGGAACAGCAGAGACTGCGGGGCTGGGGCTGTGGGAGGGAGGACGGATGTGGGCAGAGTGGAGAGCATGAAGTATGTGGTGGATGATGGTAGGAATTTTGGATTTTATTCTAAAAGCAACAGGGAGTCATGGACAGGTGTCAAGGGGGGAGGCCACAAGGTCCTATTGACATTTCCAGAGCTCCCTCTGGCTCCTGTGTGCACAGACGGCCGTGGAGAGCTAGCCTGGAAGCAGAGAGAGCGGCAGCGAGGCTCTTGTGTGAGTCAGATGACACCCCCCACCCTGACTGCATGTTCCTTTTCCTCCCTCGTCAGCCTCGGGCACCTTGTCCGCCCCTGTGGTCTCCATCCACCCGCCACAGCTCACAGTGCAACCCGGGCAACTGGCGGAGTTCCGCTGCAGCGCCACAGGGAGCCCCACGCCCACCCTCGAGTGGACAGGTGAGGCCGTGATGGGAATGACATTCAGGGCCTGACTCTCCTGGGTGTGGGAGGAGAGAGGCAGGACTCTGAGCAGGCTTGGTGGGTGCTGACCCCGCATCTGCTCGTCAGGGGGTCCTGGCGGCCAGCTCCCTGCAAAGGCACAAATCCGTGGTGGTATCCTGCGCCTGCCAGCCGTCGAGCCCACAGATCAGGCCCAGTACCTGTGCCGAGCCCACAGCAGCGCTGGGCAGCAGGTGGCCAGGGCTGTGCTCCACGTGCATGGTGAGAGGCCCGGCTCAGGGTGGGGGCCGGGAGTGTGGTCAGCCCAGGGCGTGTTCTCACAGCACTCTGTCTGCAGGGGGCAGTGGACCCAGAGTCCAAGTGAGCCCAGAGAGGACCCAGGTCCACGAAGGCCGCACCGTCAGGCTGTACTGCAGGGCTGCAGGCGTGCCCAGCGCCACCATCACCTGGAGGAAGGAAGGGGGCAGCCTCCCACCACAGGTGAGGAGATGGACCCACCCAGGAGGCCCACTGGCTCTGTAGAGAGTCCCAGCCACCCTTCCTCCCCCTCCATGCCCCACCCCATGCCCCACCCCACCTCCTCCTCTGTGGCTCCCTTCATCTCCAAGACGGTGGCCTCCTGCCCCTGCATCAGCAGGGAGCCCCTGGCGTCCTCCTGGCTGCCTGGCGTTTGTCCTCCTTCATGCCCCACTGGGCCCTAATATTGGCCCTACACCTGCCTCTCCCTTTTATGCCCTGTCTGTCCCCCTGGCGAGCCGTTGCCCAGCCGCCTCTGGGGCAGCTGACCCTTCTCGTCCGTGGCAGGCCCGGTCGGAGCGCACAGACATCGCCACACTGCTCATCCCAGCCATCACGACTGCTGACGCCGGCTTCTACCTCTGTGTGGCCACCAGCCCCGCAGGCACCGCCCAGGCCCGGATCCAAGTGGTTGTCCTTTCAGGTGCGGGCCCTCTGGGAACGGAGGGGTGGGGAGGGCAAGCCAGGGCTCCCCTGGGGCCTGCTGACCCCTACTCTGTCCCCAGCCTCAGATGCCAGCCCACCACCAGTCAAGATTGAGTCCTCATCACCTTCCGTGACAGAAGGGCAGACGCTCGACCTCAACTGTGTGGTGGCAGGGTCGGCCCACGCCCAAGTCACCTGGTACAGGCGAGGGGGCAGCCTGCCTCCCCACACCCAGGTATGTGGGCCCTGAGCCTATGACAGGGTACCAGGGTGCAGGGGCTGTGGCGGAGGCGGGGACCTGTACGCGGGGCGGGGGAGGCGGCACACTGTCCCACACGTTCCAATAGCAGAAGCCAGGCCTCATCTCCCACCCCACCAGCTTCCAGCATGGGATGGCTCAGAGCAGAGCCAGTGAGAGTTTGAATGAATCACTGAGGCTGAGGGAGTGGTGACGACAGCCTCCATCCCTGTCCTCACATACCTCTGCCTCCTCCTGGCCCAGGTCCACGGCTCCCGACTGCGGCTCCCCCAGGTCTCACCAGCTGATTCTGGAGAATATGTGTGTCGCGTGGAGAATGGATCAGGCCCCAAGGAGGCCTCCATTACTGTCTCTGTCCTCCACGGCACCCATTCTGGCCCCAGCTACACCCCAGGTGAGGAGCCAGGTGCAGCTGGGCCATGGCTGAGCCCTAGGCGCTCCCAGGGAAGATGCCGGTGGCTTCTTCAGTGGCACCAGGACAGAAGGGTCGTTCCAGGCAGGCTTTGACCCTTCAGTGCCTGCTCAGAGAGAGGAGGGGGCTAAATGGATGGGAGGGGGTCTAAGGCTGGTCCAGCTTACCTGGGCTCGCTGTGAGGGACTGTTTCAGAATTTGACAGGAAGCAGCAGTGTCCGGGTTGAACACTAAGCGGGGAACTGGCTGACCTGGTTCAAATCCCAGATCTGTCCCTTAGCAGCCTTGAGCTAGCTTTTACCTTTTGGGGCCTCAGATTCATCTATGAAATGGAGCAGTTACCACCCACCTGCTTGGTCATGGTGTGGTTTAAAGGAGACGGTGTCTGTGCAAAGTACTTGTGAGCACACAGAAGACGCCCTGTAGAAGGGAGGTGTCTCATTGTCATCCGCATCCTGGGGCGCAGCCTGTATAGTGAAGCTTGCTGGTTCCCTACAGACCAGAGAAGCTCATCATCAAGAAGTCATGGTTGGGTCAGTGGGGCTCCAGCTTGTGGTTAGAGGTTGGGGAGGGAAGAAGCCATACTCAACTGGCCATGTGGAGGCAGAAGGGTGTGGCCCTAGTCCCAGAAAGGCTACCTGTCGGCCGTCCCCACTAGGGCCTGGTCACAGCCCAGAGCCCTCTGCCCTAGGGCTACAGGTTACAGCCCAAGAGTCCAGGCCTCTGAGCAGCCCCTCTGTGTCCAGCGCCCGGCAGCACCCAGCCCATCCGCATCGAGCCCTCCTCCTCACACGTGGCTGAAGGGCAGACCCTGGATCTGAACTGCGTGGTACCTGGGCAGGCCCACGCCCAGGTCACATGGCACAAGCGTGGGGGCAGCCTCCCTGCCCGGCACCAGGTATGGCAGCCCCAGGAACCACCTTGCTGGAGGGGCTGGATGGGACTGTTCCGACCCCCTCCCAACCCACCCCATTTGCACACAGACCCACGGCTCACTGCTGCGGCTGCACCAGGTGACCCCAGCCGACTCAGGCGAGTACGTGTGCCGTGTGGTGGGCACCTCCGGCCCCCTGGAGGCCTCAGTCCTGGTCACCATCGAGGCCTCTGTCATCCCTGGTGAGTGACTCCCAGTGATGTGGAAAGCTGGAGGAGGCAGACAGCCCTCCAGGGTGGTGAGATCCCAGTGACGCCTGTTGCCGACAGGGCAGGAGGCCCACACTGGAGCTGGCTGCAGGGCCCTGCCCAGGCAGACCCCACCCGTCAGAGTAACCACTGCCTTCCCATCACACTTCGCTTTGGCCACATGACTCCTCAGGCATCCCTTCCCACCTCCTCTTCCTCTCTCCAAGCCTCCACTACCCTCATCTCTCTCACTTCTTCACTCCCCTCTGCAAGGCGTGGTCCATGCCCTGGTCCTTCCATTGGGGTTGCTGAGCTGAGGGCATCAAGCCCAGGCCCCCAGGTGCCTGAAAACCTGGACCTGGCCTTGGAACCCTGGGCTGAGCTAGCTGCAGGGTGGGCGACCCCTGCCCTCTCATCTCAGGAGCATCTACGATTCTCACTCCCATCTCCACTGCCGCAGGACGCGTCCCACCTGTCAGGATCGAGTCTTCATCCTCCACAGTGGCCGAGGGGCAGACTCTGGATCTGAGCTGTGTGGTAGCAGGGCAGGCCCATGCCCAGGTCACATGGTACAAGCGCGGGGGCAGCCTCCCTGCCCGGCACCAGGTACAGGGCACCAGGAATGTGGGATGGGGCCATGGATAGTGGATTGTAGGGTCCTGGCCCCTAGCTGAGGGGCCAGCCCTTCCTAGATCAGGGAGAAGGGGTGGGGCATCTGCTTGCCTCCAGGAAGCCCCACTCTCACACTTCTCTCCACGGCTGCCCAGGTTCGTGGCTCCCGCCTGTACATCTTCCAGGCCTCACCTGCCGATGCGGGACAGTACGTCTGCCGGGCCAGCAACGGCATGGAGGCCTCCATCACAGTCACAGTAACTGGGACCCAGGGGGCCAACTTAGCCTACCGTGAGTGGGGCCACTAGGCTGGGCTGGGATGCAGAGAACAGGCTGGGTCAGCTTCAGAGAACAGGAGTGACCGGTGACCATCTTATCCCTCAGCTGCTGGCAGCACCCAGCCCGTCCGCATCGAGCCCTCCTCCTCACAGGTGGCTGAAGGGCAGACCCTGGATCTGAACTGCGTGGTGCCTGGGCAGTCCCATGCCCAGGTCACATGGCACAAGCGTGGGGGCAGCCTCCCTGTCCGGCACCAGGTATAGGACTGGAGGACAGACAGGCCACGAAGAGGAAGCAGGGTCCCTGGGTGGCGGAGGTTATTTGGGGGAGGGCTAGAGGCTCCCCTCAGATCGGGAAGCCCTGGACCCCATTGCAGAAATATATAGTGCAGTGGTTAGAACCCAGAATCGGGACTGACCAACCTGGGTGTGAATTCTGGCCCCACCACTTAGCTTGTGACCTCGGACAAATTACTTAACCTCTCTGTGCTATAGTTTCAGGGCCTATAAAATGGTAAGAATAGTATGTACTTTACAGAATTATCTTAAATATTTATATATATGCAAAATCCTCAGAGCTTAGGCTCACAGAAAGTACTCTAAGCTGTTAATATTACTATAATACCATTAGCTATTGTTGTTACTGTAATTTGTAGAATTTAGGATACCACTGATTGCAAGATCCACTATGATTTTATGTACCTCTAAGAAAAAGCTTCCATTTGTAAGGTTATTCATTTTAGATGCATCTTGATTTTAGAGGTATTGAAATGTGTGTCTAGAATTGATGAGATGTGGTATGAGTATGTACCCAGCTCACTGGGGCTCCTGGGGTCGACCACCCGGCTCCTGGACAAGAGTCCCCCTTCCCCACGTGAAGGACAGGGAAAGTGATCCAGAGCTGGTGGCCAGGTCTTGGGGGTCAGAGTGAGGCAGGATTGCAGGTTATAGGAGCAGGGGTGTCCTGAGGACTCTCTCTGACTCACCCCCATTCTGACCAGACCCACGGCTCCCTGCTGAGACTCTACCAAGTGTCCCCCGCCGACTCAGGCGAGTACGTGTGCCGAGTGGCAGGCAGCTCCGTGCCTCTAGAGGCCTCCGTCCTGGTCACCATTGAGCCTGCGGGCTCAGTGCCTGGTGAGTAGCTCTCAGGGAGGGCAGGGCTGGAGGCCCAAGGTGGGAGGTTCCCCACTCTTGCAATGGCAGGATCAGGAGGCCAAGCCACAGACTGCACCTGCCGTGAGACCAGGAGCCCCATCTCATCTCACCTCCCAGCCAGCTATTGACCCTTTGCCCTCTGTCCCCAGCACTTGGGGTCACCCCCACAGTCCGGATCGAGTCATCATCTTCGCATGTGGCTGAAGGGCAGACCCTGGATCTGAACTGCCTCGTTGCCGGTCAGGCCCATGCCCAGGTTACATGGCACAAGCGCGGGGGCAGCCTCCCGGCCCGGCACCAGGTAGGAGGCAGGAGCTAAGGAAGCCTGAAGGACCCTGTAGCTGCAGTACAAGAGCATAGGCTTGACCGGGCGCAGTGGCTCACGCCTGTAATCCCAGCACTTTGGGAGGCCAAGGTGGGAGGATCACGAGGTCAGGAGTTCGAGACCAGCCTGTCGGACATAATGAAACCCCCATCTCTACTAAAAATACACAAATTAGCCGGGCGTAGTGGTACGTGCCTATAATCACAGCTTCTCAGGAGGCTGAGGCAGGAGAATCGCTTGAACCCAGGAGGCGGAGGTTTCAGTGAGCCAAGATTGTGCCATTGCACTCCAGCATGGGCGACAGAGCAAGACTCCGTCTCAAAAAAAAAAGACCATAGGCTTTGAACTCAGGCACATTCAAGTTCAGACACTGTTCCGCCACTTGCATGCTGTGTGACTTTAGGCCAGTCACTTGTCACTTGATTCCCTGACCCTCAGTGTCCTCGTCTGCCAAATGGGCTCATGCTGCCTACCTCATCTCCCCTGTAGCATGTCAACAAACACTGGTCCCCACTTTTCTCTGGTGCCAAGTCTCAGGCGTCCCTGGCGTGGGTGAGGTGGGAGGCTAGACCCAGTCCTGACACTGGGGCGGGAGATAGGAAGGCACAAGGCAGTTTCCTCTGGAAGAGCTTCCATCAAGTTCCAGCTGGCTGGGCTGGAAGTGGCACCCGGGAAGGGAACAGGAGCTTGGCGTGAGCCGCAGTGACCGGTTCTGAGCCTGCCTCCTCCCTCCTGACCCTCCTAGGTGCATGGCTCGAGGCTACGGCTGCTCCAGGTGACCCCAGCTGACTCAGGGGAGTACGTGTGCCGTGTGGTTGGCAGCTCGGGCACCCAGGAAGCCTCGGTCCTTGTCACCATCCAGCAGCGCCTTAGCGGTTCCCACTGTGAGTGTCTAGGGGGTCACGCAAATGGTAGAGGGCTGGGGGGCCCCCATTGCAGCCTCAGCAGCTCCCACACCCTGCCTTCCACCTTGCCCTCCCAGCCCAGGGCGTGGCATACCCCGTCCGCATCGAGTCCTCCTCAGCCTCCCTGGCCAATGGACACACCCTGGACCTCAACTGCCTGGTTGCCAGCCAGGCTCCCCATACCATCACCTGGTATAAGCGTGGAGGCAGCTTACCCAGCCGGCACCAGGTACAGGGCCAGCAGGTGGGGAGGGCAAAAGCAGGGCACACCAGCCCTCAGTGGGAAGAGAGGGAACTCTCAGAACCTCACTCTGTGCTCATTCAGTCATTCAACAAACATTGAGTATCCTTGCTGGATGGGTCCTAGACTGGTGCTGAGAATACAGAAATAAGGCTCCCTGACCTCAGGGAGATCCACTTATGCGCCAAATCTCACTGAAAAGCTGCTCCGGGCCATGTCCTGTGCCTGGCACTGAAGATTCTGGATGGAATGAGACAGTTGCCTGCTCTCAGGCAGCTCGCAGGCCGTGGGAGCCCCAGCAGGATACTCGGTCAACCCTGCGGAGGGCCTTAACAGGCTTTCTGGAGGGGTGACGAAAGGCTAGTCCACCCCAGCCCAGAGACAGGCCATGTGCTATGCTGGGAGCTTCAGGAAGGCCACTGAGGAGGCAAGGCAGGGGGGCTCCCAGAGTCCAGGGGGCAGTGGCAGCAGTGCCCAAGACATAGAGGTGCTGCCCACACCTACACCTCCTGCCACCTGCTTCCTGCAGATCGTGGGCTCCCGGCTGCGGATCCCTCAGGTGACTCCGGCGGACTCGGGCGAGTACGTGTGTCATGTCAGTAACGGTGCAGGCTCTCGGGAGACCTCACTTATCGTCACCATCCAGGGCAGCGGCTCCTCCCACGGTGAGAGCAGAGAGGGCGGGGGTCAAGACAAGTGGTACAGGGGGTGGCAGAGAGGTCCCCGGTGCCATCACTGTTACCTCACTCTGGCGGCGTGGTCCACACCCCTCTGTCCCCAGTGCCCAGCGTCTCCCCACCAATCAGGATCGAGTCCTCTTCCCCTACGGTGGTAGAAGGACAGACCTTGGATCTGAACTGTGTGGTCGCCAGGCAGCCCCAGGCTATCATCACATGGTACAAGCGTGGAGGCAGCCTTCCCTCCCGACACCAGGTACAAAGTGGAGCCACGGCAGCAGGGGTGGAACCCTGGTCTCCTGGGGTGAGCAGAGCAGGCTCCCTGTCTCATGGACTGGGCCCTGGGTAGACAGACAGCAGCCTCGACAGGCTGAGCAGGAAGGCCTGAGCCCTCCACTCCCTCTTCCTCTCCTTCCCCATCCGCACGCCCAGACCCATGGCTCCCACCTGCGGTTGCACCAAATGTCTGTGGCTGACTCGGGCGAGTACGTGTGCCGGGCCAACAACAACATTGATGCCCTGGAGGCCTCCATCGTGATCTCCGTCTCCCCTAGAGCTGGCAGCCCCTCCGGTGAGTCTGCCCAGGAAAGGGACAAGGGATGCAGGCAACAGTGTTCCCTGGGGAGGAAAGAACTTTCGAGTCAGAGTCCTCAGACCTGGTGGTACTCAGGCAAGGGCCAGTGAAAAGATGTGTGGGTTCAAAGGCTGGGCGCGGTGGCTCATGCCTGAAATCCCAGCACTTTGGGAGGCTAAGGTGGGTGGATCGCTTGAGCCTAGGAGCCCTAGACAACATGGTAAAATCCATCTCTACTAAAAATACAAAAATTAGTCCGGCGTTGTTACCTATAGTCCCAGCTACTTCGGAGGCTGAAGTGGGAGACTTGCTTGAGCCCAGGAGGTTGAGGCTGCAGTGAGCTGTGATTCACTGTGCTCCAGCCTAGGCAACAGGAGTGAAAAAAAACCCCGGGTTCAAATCCTGCTTGTACCACTAAGGGACTTAAAGAGTTACCTTCCCCTCTCAGCCTCAGTTTTCACCAGTGAAATGGGGGCATTGACCTTTCCAACCTCTCAGAAGTACACTGTTGAATACAGTGGCTACGGCTACCCCATTTCTAACATTTCAAGTTCTCAATAGCCACATGTGGCTTGCAGCCACTGTCTTGGCCTGTGCAGATAAAAAACATTTCCATCATGGCAGGAAGTTTATGGACTTTGTGAGGGTTAAGTGAGTTAGTGCATTTAATGTGCTTAGAGCAGTGCCTGGCATGCCATAAGTGCTTTCTAAGTGTTGACTATTATTATTATTATTTTTTTTTTTTTTTGAGAGGGAGTCTCTCTCTGTCACCCAGGCTGGAATGCAGTGGCGCAGTCTCAACTCACTGCAACTTCCGCTCTCCAGGTTAAAGCGTTTCTCCTGTGTCAGCCTCCCGAGTAGCTGGGACTCCAGGCACATGCCACCATGCCCCACTAATTTTTGTATTTTTAGTAGAGACAGGGTTTCACCATATTGGTCAGGCTGGTCTCAAACTCCTGACCTCAGGTCATCCACCCACCTTGGCCTCCCAGAGTGCTGGGATTACAGGCATGAACCAACATGCCCAGCCAAGTGTTAACTATTATCATTACCCTGGGGGGTGAGATTTTCCATGGCAGAGGGTCCCACCAACCCTGTTCCCAAATCTGACAATGGCTGAGCTGACTCACTGGTCTCTGTTCCCCCAGCCCCTGGCAGTTCCATGCCCATCAGGATTGAGTCATCATCCTCACACGTGGCCGAAGGGCAGACCCTGGATCTGAACTGCGTGGTCCCCGGGCAGGCCCATGCCCAGGTCACTTGGCACAAGCGTGGGGGCAGCCTCCCCAGTCACCATCAGGTACGCAGCCGGCAGGAAATGGTGGGAGGGCCACTGGATGTGGGGGCCCTGGCTAGCTCTGCTAGGAGGGAGACTAGGAGCCCCTGTGGGGTGCAGTACCCACCTGTGTCAGAGGTTAGACCCTGGCCCCAGGCTTTCAGAGATTCCAGACTGGCACCTGACTCTGTTCCTCTGTCCTGTCCCCTGTTCAGGCCCACGGCTCACGACTGCGGCTGCACCAGGTGTCCCCGGCCGACTCGGGTGAATACGTGTGCCGGGTGATGGGCAGCTCTGGCCCCCTGGAGGCCTCGGTCCTGGTCACCATTGAAGCCTCTGGCTCAAGTGCTGTCCACGTCCCCGGTGAGGGTCCCTGCAGTGGGACTGGGAGGACAGAGGAGGGAGGAAGGGACAGAGAGCCAGTGGGCAGAACTGGGAGAAGGAAACACTTTCTGGCACTTGGCGAGAACTGCCGCTCTAATTCCAGACTTTACCTCCTGCCACCCACCTGGTCCCAGGACGGAGGAGCCAGCGTAAGTGGAGTGGCTCCTATCCCTCTCCACAGCTTGTGAGCACAGGCTTTGGAGTCTGGCATCTGTGCATGAGTCCCGGCTCCTCTGGCCACACTTGGAGATGTTGCACAAGGGACTTCAGCTTTCCACGTGTCACTGTCCCTTATCTGTAAAGAAGGGGTAGTAGCGCTCTTGTATTCTACTATCTAATTACAGAGTTCCCAAAAGCCTGAGACTGCACCTCTGCAAGTATTGAAAGGTGATTTATACATCTTTATTAGGGCCAGTGTGGTAACTCACACCTGTAGTCCCAGCACTTTGGGAGGCCGAGGTGGGCGGATTGCCTGAGCTCATGACCAGTCTGGTTTCAGAGTTCGAGACCAGTCTGGACCACATAGTGAAACCGCACCTCTACTAAAAATACAAAAGTTACCTGGGCGTGGTGGCACATGCCATTAGTCCTAGCTACTCGGGAGGCTGAAGCACGAGAATCACTTGAACCCAGGAGGCGGAGGGTGCAGTGAGCCGAGATTGCACCACTGCACTGCAGCCTGGGTGACAGAGTGAGACCCTTTGTCTCCAAAAATAAAAAAATAAATAAATAAATGCCTTCATTAGTACTGGTGACATATAAGGGACAAAAAAACGTATCAAGCTTGTCCTTATTTCTTGGAAATCTTTGTTTATGATGGGGCTAAGTAGGTAAGGTTTTTTAAAAGTGAATCAATTGAAAGGAAAATGTCCAGTAATTAATAGCACAAGGGGCACATGCTATGCAGAAATCATAAGGGGATATGGATTGCTAAGTAGTAAACATGATCCAGCACCTCTTAGGTGCTAGGCCCTGTCATATTTACACATATTAGTTCATTTTGTCTTCACAACAGCCCTTTGAGGTAGATGGCATTGTTCTCTCCAGTTTACAGATGGGGAAACTGAGACTCAGAGAGGTGAAGTTCTTTTCCAAAGGTCATACCGCTAATCAATGGCAGAGCTAGGATTTGAATCCAGGCAGTCTGGCCCTAGAGTCTGGGTTCTTAGCCACATTCTCTCCAAGTTTGCCAAACATTAGGGGCCTCGTGGTCTGCGTGGAGGTGTCTAGACCTGAGCCCTGGCCCCACTGGTGCTGGGAGCGAGGGAGGAGGAGGAGATGGTGGGGCTACTGCCTGGGGGCAGGGCTGGGGGAATGAGAAGTGCCTCCACCTCCAGGCTAGCCCAGCTGCTCCAGGCCTCAATGGAATGGGAAGGGAAAAAAGCCATGTCCCAAATGGCCTCTGGTCCTAACATCTGGGCCCCAGGGGAAGGGCTGAGGGCATCAGGGTGGGTATCTCAGCTCACTGACCTCTCCCCTGTGCCCTAGCCCCAGGTGGAGCCCCACCCATCCGCATCGAGACTTCCTCCTCCCGAGTGGCCGAAGGGCAGACCCTGGATCTGAAGTGTGTGGTACCCGGGCAGGCCCACGCCCAGGTCACGTGGCACAAGCGTGGAGGAAACCTCCCTGCCCGGCACCAGGTAAAAGAGCTGGAGAAGGAGGCATGCCTCCTCCACACCCACAGCAGTCCTGCCTGAATCCAGCCCTGAAGGGAAAGTGGTCTCAGCAACTGGGGCTTGTGGGGAATGGCAGCAGGAGGCCACTGGAGTCAGGAGGTTGAGAGCAGGCTGGGCACACCAGGGCCACCACCAGCCCCACACCATCTTGGTGCAAAATAGAAAAGGACACCTCTGGCCAGGTGCGGTGGCTCATGCCTGTAATCCCAGCACTTTGGGAGGCCGAGGCAGGTGGATCACTTGAGGTCAGGAGTTCAAAGCCAGCCTGGCCAAGGTGACTAAACCAAAAATACAAAAATTGGCCAGGCGTGGTGGCAGACGCCTGTCATCCCAGCTATTCGGGAGGCTGAGGCAGGAGAATCACTTGAACCCAGGAGGCAGAGGTTGCGGTGAGCTGAGATTGCACCACTGCACTCCAGCCTGGATGACAGCGAGACACTGTCTCAAAAAAGAAAGAAAAAGGCACCTGTTACTCAAGGCTCTTGACTTCCTCCTACCGGAAAAGCCATCCTACTAAACATGCCCTCCACAGTGCAGGCTGTCAAAGGGGTCGCTGCCAACAGGATGCACCTACATATCTGTGCATGGCAGTCCCCGGGTGTGGGCGCCAGAGGCCTGGGCATCTGAAGGCTCCCAGCCACCCTCCCTACTCTCACCCCACCTTGGCCAGGTCCACGGCCCACTGCTGAGGCTGAACCAGGTGTCCCCAGCCGACTCTGGCGAGTACTCGTGCCAAGTGACTGGAAGCTCAGGCACCCTGGAGGCATCTGTCCTGGTCACAATTGAGCCCTCCAGCCCAGGCCCCATTCCTGGTGAGTGACAGGGAACAGTGGGCGATGCACAGGCACGGCGCCCCTTCCCAGCGCTGCTCCGCTCCTCTCTCCCAGCCAGGCGCTTACTGTTGCCTGCCGGCGGGGTTTCGTACCACAGAGGATCAAGCCAACCCAGGTGTTCCCAAGTCTGACGATGGTCCCGTCCCCTCAACCAGGGGTCCCCAGCCCTGGGTGTCAGGAGGACACTTGAGTCCCCAGGGAAAGGAGACCCTTCTTAGGTTATATCAGCCACTCTCAAGCCACTGCACCCCCAGGACCAACTGGAGTTGGCCTTCACTGCCACCACCTTGAGCCCCTGCCTTGATCCCGGGAGCCTGGCCTCTCTCACCCACCCCCTGTGCCCACAGCTCCAGGACTGGCCCAGCCCATCTACATCGAGGCCTCCTCTTCACACGTGACTGAAGGGCAGACTCTGGATCTGAACTGTGTGGTGCCCGGGCAGGCCCATGCCCAGGTCACGTGGTACAAGCGCGGGGGCAGCCTCCCCGCCCGGCACCAGGTACAGGGGCCAGGATGGGGAGGATTCCAGGGCAGGCAAGGTTAGACCTGCAGCTGCTTTCTGCACCCAAACCTCATGCAAACACCAGCCTGCTTGGGTACCCCAGGGGATAATACTTTTGGGGGATGAGTTCACCAGCCTGCAAATCAGGAGACCTGGGTTTTTCTCTTGGCTCTGCAGCTGAATCATTTCCTGGGCCTCAGTTAAGTTAAGTTGCTGGGCCACTGTAAAGTTAGTGGGTTGGACTTCTAGGATTCTGGGAGCAAAGCTTCCATCAGCCCTGCCAGCTGGGGCCCTGGGCTCCCGAGAGAACTCTTGGGCACCGGCACAGGTGGGCTTGGGGACATTCCTTGTCCCGGGGACTTTGCCCTGATAACTGTCCCCTCGCTGCTCTGACAGACCCATGGCTCCCAGCTGCGGCTCCACCAGGTCTCCCCTGCTGACTCAGGCGAGTATGTGTGTCGTGCAGCTGGTGGCCCAGGCCCTGAGCAAGAAACCTCCTTCACAGTCACCGTCCCACCCAGCGAGGGGTCTTCCTACCGTGAGTACGGCAGATGCCATGGGCAAGGGGGGAAGGGGAGGGCCCTGAAGCTGAGCCCACCCCTGCTGAGCCCAGCCCTCTGCCCCTTTGGCCCCAGGCCTTAGGAGCCCGGTCATCTCCATCGACCCGCCCAGCAGCACCGTGCAGCAGGGCCAGGATGCCAGCTTCAAGTGCCTCATCCATGATGGAGCAGTCCCCATCAGCCTCGAGTGGAAGACCCGGAACCAGGAGCTGGAGGGTGAGCCAGGCTGGCGGGCAGGTGGGCAAGCCGGGGGCAGGTGTGGGGGTGCCGTCATCCCCGCTGTGCAAGGGTGGGGCGGAAGTCTGGACGCCCCACATTCATGGTGTGGCCCTGAATAAGGCCCTTCCCATCTCTGTATGGCGAGGGCGCTGGACCCAGGAGTTTCCGAGGCCTTTGTTACCTTCTGCTCTCTGGGACTCTGTGAGCTGGACACACCCAGGCCGGAGGGGTTGGAGGCGTGGGCCCAGGGGCACAGGCTGGCGGCACCAAGACACGAGAAGGACCAAGTCAATCCTCTCTCACCCTCCCCCATGCAACCTTACAGACAACGTCCACATCAGTCCCAATGGCTCCATCATCACCATCGTGGGCACCCGGCCCAGCAACCATGGCACCTACCGCTGCGTGGCCTCCAATGCCTACGGCGTGGCCCAGAGTGTGGTGAACCTCAGTGTGCACGGTGAGGGGACGTTGACTCTGTGGGGCTCTGCCCTCCTGTTTCCAGCCCTGATTCTCAGCTCAGAGCCTCCAAGTTTAAATCCTCCTTCTACCACTGACTCTGTCTTGGGCATTCTCCCTGTCTGAGCCTCAGTTTCCGCCTCAGTGCAGTGTGGAGACAGGTGCCCACCCAGCACTTACTAAGCTGGAGACCATGGCAGTGTGGGTGACCAGCAGAGCCCTGCCTGTGTGTCAGTGGTTGTCATTCCTCCGCACAGGGCCCCCTACAGTGTCCGTGCTCCCCGAGGGCCCCGTGTGGGTGAAAGTGGGAAAGGCTGTCACCCTGGAGTGTGTCAGTGCCGGGGAGCCCCGCTCCTCTGCTCGTTGGACCCGGATCAGCAGCGCCCCTGCCAAGTTGGAGCAGCGGACATATGGGCTCATGGACAGCCGCGCAGTGCTGCAGGTGAAGCCGGGGCTGGTGCCTCGCTGGGTCTGAGGCCCAGTCCAGGGCCCAGCCTTGAGCAGGTGTTTGGAGGAGATAGTAGTAGATGGGCGGGTGGTGATGAGTGGATGGAGAGAGGAAGGGAGGAATGGGACGGGATGGAATGGGTGGATGGCGAATAGACTGGAAGATGAGAGGGTAGAGAGAAGGAAGGTAGGAGAAGGAAGAAAGAATGAGTGGAAGGATGGGAGGGTGGGTCGAAGGCCAAGTGGATGGATGGACTAATGGGGTGTCATGAGGATGAGCCCTCAAGCAACCAGATGGGAGAGCTAAAAACCAAGGAAAGGGCCAGGCATGGTGGCACGTGCCTGTCATCCCAGCACTTTGGGAGGCCAAGGCAGGAAGATCACTTGAGCCCAAGAGTTCAAGACCAGCCTGGGAGGCCGAGGTGGGTGGATCACCTGAGGTCAGAAGTTCGAGACCAGCCTGGCCAACATGGTGAAACCCCATCTCTACTAAAAATACAAAATTAGGCCGGGCACGGTGGCTCACTCCTGTAATCCCAGCAATTTGGGAGGCCGAGGCGGGTGGATCACGAGGTCAGGAGATCAAGACCATCCTGGCTAACATGGTGAAACCCCGTCTCTACTAAAAATACAACAAAAAAATGTCTGGGCATGGTGGCGGGCACCTGTAGTCCCAGCTACTCAGGAGGCTGAGGCAGGAGAATGGCGTGAACCTGGGAGGCGGAGCTTGCAGTGAGCCGAGATTGTGCCACTGCACTGCAGCCTGGGCCACAGAGCTGAGTGGGACCCTGTCTCAAAAAAAAAAAAAAAAGTACAAAATTAGCTGGGTGTGGTGGCACACACCCTACTCGGGAGGCTGAGGCAGGAGAATTGCTTGAAACAGGGAGGCAGAGGCTGCAGTGAGCCAAGATCACGCCACTGCACTCCAGCCTGGACCAGATAGAGCAAGACTCCATCTCAAAATAAATAAATAAATAAATAAATAAATAAATAAATAAATAAAAATTAAAAATAAAAATTAAATTAAAAATTAGCCAGGTATGGCAGCACATAACCTGTAGTCCCAGCTATTCAGGAGGCTGAGGCGAGAGGATTGCTTGAGCCCGGGAGGCAGAGGTTGCAATGAGCCAGGACGCTGCCACCGCACTCCAACCTGGGCAACAGAGTAAGACCCTGTGTCAAAAAATAAATAAATAAATAAATAAATACCAAGGCAGGTAGAGGAAATAGGGAAAACCAAGCCAGAGCTGGGGCTGACATCAAAGTCCCCACTCAGTACCCACGTAACCAGCCTCCTTGGTTTCTCCCAGATTTCATCAGCTAAACCATCAGACGCGGGCACTTACGTGTGCCTTGCTCAGAATGCACTGGGCACAGCACAGAAGCAGGTGGAGGTGATCGTGGACACAGGCGCCATGGCCCCCGGGGCCCCTCAGGTCCAAGCTGAAGAAGCTGAGCTGACTGTGGAGGCTGGACACACGGCCACCTTGCGCTGCTCGGCCACAGGTGTGGCCAGGGACTGGCACATAGGGCTGGCAGGGCAGGGATGCCCTGGGGTCTGAAATGTAGGCACATGTGATCTAGAGATGATGTCATGCCCAGGGGTGGGGAGTACGGGGAGACCGTGTTGCTAGCATCCTCCAGTGATGGCTGAGGAACCCAGCTGGGGTCCCATAGAGGGACAGGATCACCCAGGGCCCTTCCTCACCACAGCCACCCTCTGCGGCTCCCTGAGGTAGCCCAGTGACATCTGTCATCTTCCATTCAACTCCATAGGCAGCCCCGCGCCCACCATCCACTGGTCCAAGCTGCGTTCCCCACTACCCTGGCAGCACCGGCTGGAAGGTGACACACTCATCATACCCCGGGTAGCCCAGCAGGACTCGGGCCAGTACATCTGCAATGCCACTAGCCCTGCTGGGCACGCTGAGGCCACCATCATCCTGCACGTGGAGAGTAAGGCCTCATCCCTTCTTTGTCTGCACCAAATGGAGATATGAGCCCCCCAATGAGGCTCCACCCCACACAGAACCCCAGGAACCCCATCCAGAGGTCTCCAGGCACAGCAGGGTCCCAGAGCCTGCCCTTGCCTGACACCCCACCTGGGACCTTTGCTTTCCTTATCCCCGGTCCTCTGGGCTCACCATTCAGTTTTCCTGGACACCTGGATCCAATGACCTGCTGCCATTCTGACCTTTGCCCTCCCCCATCCTGACCTCTGTGTCCCCCTACCCAGGCCCACCGTATGCCACCACGGTCCCAGAGCACGCTTCGGTGCAGGCAGGGGAGACGGTACAGCTCCAGTGCCTGGCTCACGGGACACCCCCACTCACCTTCCAGTGGAGCCGCGTGGGCAGCAGCCTTCCTGGGAGGGCTACTGCCAGGAACGAGCTGCTGCACTTCGAGCGTGCAGCCCCTGAGGACTCAGGCCGCTACCGCTGCCGGGTCACCAACAAGGTGGGCTCAGCCGAGGCCTTTGCCCAGCTGCTCGTCCAAGGTAAGCAGCCCCGGCTCAGGGTTTAAGGGGGTCACCTTTCCTCTTGGCCCTTCGATGACTCAGCTAGGCAGACTCAGGTGGGAAGGCCTCCCTCCATAACCCCACCTGGAATGCCCTCATCTCCCCTGCTCTCCGGGGCCCAAGGCAGGTCCAGGAAGCCCTCCATCACGTGTGCTCAGCTCCTCTAGCTCTCACGGCTGCTCCCCACCTTTGGCACAGCCCTGGCACTGCCGAAGGAAACCATTCTGTGTACATAAGCACCCCAGCCAGCCTCCCCTGCCAGGCAGTGAGAATGCTCAGGGCAGGGCCAGGGCCTGGACCCAGGCATCTCAGCAGCCCTGGGCTTAATTGAGGGCGACACGGCCCAGGATGGGCTGGGTAAATGCTTGACAGGGACAACAGTGAATGAGTGACAGGAGCGCCCACCCCCAGCACGCCCAGGGCTTCAGTGGATCTTCAGAAGGCCCAGCATTTCCATGGCCTCTTGCATCAATGATACAAATGAGAGCTTTTGGGCCCAAACTCTTAAAGTAGCACAGCATGTAGCCCTCTGGTCACGGGCCTGGACTGTGGACTCAGACGTGGGTTCAAAGCATAGCTTGGCCATTTGCTGGCTGTGCAACCTTGGCCAAGTCACTGAATCTTTTTGAGCCTCAGTTTCTTTTTTTTTTTTTTCTTTTTTTTTTTTTGAGACAGAATCTCACTCTGTCACCCAGGCTTGAGTGCAATGGCACGATCTCGGCTCACTGCAACCTCCATCTCCCGGGTTCAAGCGATTTTCGTGCCTCAGCCTCCTGAGTAACTGAGACTACAGGCATGCACCACCATGCTTGGCTAATTTTTGTGTTTTTAGTAGAGAAGAGGATTTGCCATGTTGGCTAGGCTGGTCTCGAACTCCTGACCTCAAGTGATCCACCCACCTCAGCCTCCCAAAGTGCTGGGATTATAAGAGTGAGCCACCACGCTCGGCCTGAGCCTCAGTTTATCTGTAAAGTGGAGAGAACAATGCCAACCACGTAGGCTGAGTTGGAAAGGTACACAGAGGTAAACACAGATGTAAAACTGTGGTTCACAGTAGGCACTTAGTAAATGGGGACAATATGCATCTGCCCCCGCCTCCCATCTGTCCCCTGCACGTGTAGGTGTCTTTGCCATGGCCAAGTCCCTGGATTCTCTTATTTAAACTGCAGGCAGAATAGGCTTTGCTGTCCTTCCTTAAAATGTCTGAGTCTGGCCGGGCGTGGTGCTCATGCCTGTAATCCTAGCACTTTGGGAGGCCGAGGCTCGCGAATTGCCTGAGCTCAGGAGTTCGAGACCAGCCTGGGCAACATGGTGAAACCCCGTCTCTACTAAAATACAAAAAAAAAAAAAAAATTAGCCAGGCGTGGTGGCGGGCACCTGTAGTCCCAGCTACTCGGGAGGCTGAGGCAGGAGAATCGCTTGAACCCCGGGAGGGCAGAGGTTGCAGTGAGCCAAGATCATGCCACTGCACTCCAGCCTGGGGACAGAGACAAGACTCTATCTCAAAAAAAAAAAGGTCTGAGTCCCTCCCACTCTTTTCGTGGCCTACCCTCCCCACCCCCAGAAGCGAAGAGCTGTGGAAACAGAGCCCAGCTCTCCACGGGCCCTTATCCGTGTTGGCAGAATGGCGGCTGCGAGTGCAGATGAATGAATCTGCCACTGAAGGGGCTTTTTTCCCTGGTCAGAGAGGCTATCAGGAGAACATTCCTTGAATGTTGCGGGCTGGGGTTTCCTGGGTCCCCGAGGGGACATCAGAGACATCACACACATGTACCTGCAGAACCTCATACATGTCCCCGCAGGCCTCCCCGGCCTCCTCCCTGCCACCTCCATCCCAGCAGGGTCCACGCCCACCGTGGCAGGTCACTCCTCAAGCTAGAGACCCAAAGCATCGGGCGCAGCGTTGAATTCCACTGTGCTGTGCCCCAGCGACCGGGGTACCCAGCTCCGTTGGGTTCAAGGAAGGGGGTCAGCTGCCTCCGGGTCACAGCGTGCAGGATGGGGGTCCTCGCGTAAGTGGGTCCGGGGGCAGGACTGGACTTGGGCAGCCACAGCCCAAGGCTCACAGTGAGCAAGTTAAAGCACCTGCCCCAGGGGGCGTAACATGAAGCACTGTCCTTGGGGCACATCACTTTACCTCTCTGAGCCTCAGTGTTTCAAGCTGTACAATGGGTTTAATATAGAACTGAATGAGGCGCGGGCGCAGTGGGCTCCCTCGGACTGTAAATCGCCCAGGCACTGTTGGGAAAAAGCGAGGCCGGGCCGGAGTCACCCTGAGGTCAGGTAAGTTCCAAGACCAGCCTGACCAAAACAATGCGGGAAAAAAACCCCGTTCCCCTCTAAAAAAAATACAAAATTGCCGGGCCATGGGGGAGGCCAAACAACTGGGCTGTAATCCCCAGCCCTACCCTAGGGAAGGGCCTTTGAAAGGGTCAGAGAAATCGCTTTGAACCCTGGGTAAAACGGCGGGGAGGTTGGCAGTGAACCAAGAATTAGTGCCCCATTGCACTCCCAGGCCCTAGGCAAACCAAGAAGTTGGGGAAAACCTACCCCGTCCTCCAAAAAAAAAAAAAAAAAAAAAAAAGAACTGGAATTGAGGTACCAGGATCGGTTTGGCTCACGCCGTGTAATCCCCAGCCAACTGTTTGGGAGGCCCGAGGCCTGGTGGGGAATCCACCTGGAGGTTCCAGGGAGTGTTTGAGACCAAGCCTGGCCCAACAGGCTAGAAAACCCCCTGTCTTCCTACTAAAAATACAAAAAACCCTTAGCTTTGGGCGGGTAAGCGTCCCCCCCCCCACCTTGTAATCCCCCAAACCCCTACCTCCGGGGGAAGGGCGAGACCTGGAGAATTTGCCTTTGAAACCCAGGAAAGGGCAAGAAGTTGCAGTGAGCCCTGAGATCGTACCAACTGCACCCTTTCAGCCTTGGCGCCCAAACAAGAGCAAACAACTCTATCTCAAAAAGAAAAAAAAGACGAAAGATACATGCAAAAGGACTTGCCCCCCAGTGCTGGGCCCTTGGGAAGGCCCTTCAGTAAAACAAGTGGCCCATTCATAATTATTATTAGTGGAGCGAAAAGAGGAACACCAGAACCCCCTGGGGGCCAGAAAAAATACGAATGAACCCCAGATTCTCCAGCTCTGCATGCTTTGAATAATTGTAATCTTGAAGCCCTAAGACCCAAAATAAAGGGTCCTTGGTCCCACAAAGGGTGTTGGGGTGGGGCCCCCCCCAACCCTGCCTTGCCCTACCTCTAGTGGGTTATTGGGGAAACTAGAAATGCAAAACACTTTGTGGTCTGGTTCATTCATATCAAGTTTCTTGTAACGCCCCCACATACAATTGCAAAGGCAATTCGTTTTTTTTTTTTTTTTTTTTGGGAGGACAGAGTGTCTCCACCATCGTCAACCCAGGCTGGAGTTGCAGATTGGCACAACCTCCGCTTTCCCGGGTTCAAGTGAAATTCTCAATGGCTCAGTCTCCCGAAGGTAAATCTGAAGTAATAGGCATGCGCCACCCACGCCTGGCTAATTTTTGTAATTTTTATAGAAAACAGGGGTTTCACCAATGTTGGCTAGGTTGGTCTCAAGCTTCCTGAATCCAAACTGATCCGCCTGCCTCAGCCTCCCCAAAGTGGCTAGGGAAATTACAAGGCATGAGCCACA